CATAGATCCAAGGTTTATAGGGTTGCATGTACACCATAGGAGTGTTAGAATGCTCAAAACCCAACAAGGTATCCATATTCTTGCTCACACAATTTACCCTAAACTCTATTTAAGAAAACTAACTTGATCGTCGGAGTGACGTCCCGGGAGAACACCCGGTCGTCCTTGAATGATTCCTTTGTGTTGTGCTCTCAGGAAAACATCAAGGACTGATCCGTCAGCTATCTCCCAATCCACTGAAGAGCATGTCGCAACATATATATATATATATATATATATATATATATATATATATATATATATATAAATGTAATATGTGTAAGATGTTGTTTGGTTATAGTTTGATATGTTGGTATATTGTAATTTGGTAATTCTTAGTTTAGTATAGTAAAATGTTATAATGGAAATATATTTTGTTTTCTTAGTAAAGTAGAATTCTATTTTGATACGTTGATAGTATATTATGTTTTCTTTGTAGTTGGACATGTTGCAAACAATGCTAAAAGACCCGACATGCTGTGCAGTACTGGAGGAATGGTTTTGTTTGTTGCCGCCATGAAATGAAGCAAAAGAAAACCAAGGGAGTGATGAGGACGAGTAGCTACTTTTAGTATTTATGTAATGTTTTATTTGGGTTCATATTTTAGACTAGTATTTTGGATATTTTGCATTATGTTTGGATGAGTATTTCAGATGGATGTTGTTTGGATTAATATTTTGGATCGAATGTCGTGTATATTATAAATTTAAATTTTTTATTATATTAATATCATAATATTTTTATACTTTTAATACAATTTTATCTAATTTTAATGTTAAATACTAAAAAAAATGGAAAATACAATTACCGGCAACACCTTTACTACAATTACCGACAACACATTTACTGGCGACAACCCTTTAGTGGTAACGCATTGCATAGGTTGCGACATACCTTTAGCGACAACATATAACATTAGTGGTGACTTAGGAGAATTTGTGGCGAGGCATCAACGTCGACAGCCTAGACTTTTAGCGACGACGTCTGTCATCGCTAATACTCGTTATTCTTGTTGTGACCACTACCGGTGAGTACGACTATTAGCAGCAACACCTATTACTTCAAACGACAAAAGGGCTTTGCGATGGATTATTAGTGGAATTAATAGCGGTTGCCGCTGGTTATACCTTTAGCAACACTACTAGAAACATGGGTTTTAGAGACGGACGAATTTGTCGCTATTCCGTCCCTAAATGTTGTTTGCGATGGATCCGCGACAAATTCACTCCATAGGTAAATTAAAACGTGGCTAATGAATCAGTGAGGGTTTTAGCGACGACTCGGTTTTTCCTTGCGACGAATATAGCGACAGAATATCTGTCGCTAAATGTCACTCAATACATTTACTCAAGACATTGGCGACAAAATTTGTTAAAGACATTTCGTCGCTGTTCTGTCGCAAATTTCCATGATAGCTAATCCCTTGCAAAATTCATATACTAATTTTTTTTTCCGTCGCTGATCCGTTGCAAACTTTAGACATGATTTTTTTCCATAGCTAATCCCTCGCAAAATTCATACATTAATTTTTTTTTTTCCGTCGCTGATCCGTCGCAAACTTTAGACATGATTTTTTTCCATAGCTAATCCCTCGCAAAATTCATACATTAATTGTTTTTTTCCTTCGCTGATCCGTCACAAACTTTAGACATGATTTTTTTTTCCATAGCTAATCCCTTGCAAAATTCATGCATCATTTTTTTTATTTTTTTTTTGTCACTGATCCGTCGCAAACATGCAATATTTTTTTTTATTATGATTCAAAAAGAAAAAAAAACTACAATCATCAAATTATTATACAAAAAAACATCAAATAATGATACAACCAAATATTACATCACCAAAACTATCAAAGTTTACCAAATTATCATTCAAAAAACATCCGAAAAAAAAACTATCCAATGTATGCAAAAGAGGTACAAACAAAAAAAAAAGTTTAACCTTCAAAATAACCATCGGGAAATGAGTTTTCACAAAACATAATTTCAAAATAACATTTTAGCTGCTCTCTTCATTTCATGTTCATCCAATCATCTTCGGTTCTCATATAACATTATTCAAAACAATCAAAAACATCAAATACAAAAGGTTACCATGTACCTCCAATTTTCAACTTCCCATCATATTTTGCAAGGTTGCATACATCTTCTCCATTGCTTCATATTTTGCATCAATTTGTTGTTGTTTGGCATCTATTGCTGCAACTTTGGCATCCATTTCCTCACGCATTTGTTGTTGTTTAGCTTCCATTTCTGCAGCTTTATCATCCATTTCCCCACGCATCTCGTTTCGTACACATTCATAGACAACCTACAGTACAATGCCATGATAGGAAACTTTGTAAGTACAATACCATGATAGGAAACTTTGTAAGTACAATGCCATGATAGGAAAATTTGTAAGTACAATTCCATGATTGGAAACTTTGTAAGTACAATTCCATGATAGGAAACTTTGTAAGTACAATGCCATGATAGGAAACTTTGTAAGTACAATGCCATGATAAGAAACTTTGTAAGTACAATGTCATGATAGGAAACTTTGTATGTGCAATGCCATGATATGAAACTTTGTAAGTACAATGCTATGATAGGAATTTTTTTCATAAAGTACAAAATTAAACGAACCTCTTGGGATGTTATTGTACTAGATGTTCCTTCCAAAAAGCTCGCTGGATCAGACACAGACCCGAATCCATATATTCTTCCTTTCTTGACTCCTCCAGAAACATCACACCATGTTTCATTATCAAAGAGGGGGTGGCAACTAGTATCATCACCGAACTTAGCCACCATAGAACTTTCATAAGGCTCCTATTATATCAAAAAAGAACATGAAAAAACAGAAACATGAAAGAAAGAATGGAATGGTTCATTCCATTCCATTAAAATCATAATCAAGGAATGGAATGAACCACTTCATAAGCCTCTTATTAATTAATACTGAAACTTTGATAAACCATTTTTTTTATTCTTATCTAATCAAACCTTTCATAAAGTTGATTACTACTTACAAAATACTTAATTACAACTAGGCAGAGGATCAAACATTTAGAGATAATAATTTGTTCTTTTTCTTTTGTAAGTTGATTACTACTTACAAAAGATTTGTTTTCTACCAATTTGTTGCTCTAACCAAGTGATTAACTCGAGTAGTAGGAAGTTTTGTTTCCTATAGAAGAATTGAAAATACATGAACTTTAGCTGCCTTTGGTGTAATGTACTCTTGAGTAGTCTGTTTAGTGTGCAACCTTGCATAAAGTTCAACTCCTATAGGAGGGCGTTTAAGCGTTGCTTGCTATAAAATCCGTTAGTAATACATTAAAAAAAAAAACAAAAAATCAATAGTCTATGTGGAAACTAAGGTGAGATGCAAACTTCTTACCATTCTTTTCTTATGTTGACGGATAGATATAGAACCCCAGTATGTTTGGAAATAGAGCCATCTTCTAATTTGCTTTGCCGTCTTTTTTGTCAAATACAACCGTTAGAGTCTAGGAGCAATCAGCAAGTACCTCATAACCAGATAAGGCAGTCTGCCACTCTTGTACCGATCATGATCACACACTCGACACTTAGTCAAATTAGAATCTGTCCCATAGAATATCATGCAATGGTTTTTGCAAGCATGAATCTTTTTTTTTCTGGGAGTCTAATTACTTTCAAAAGCTTTTTCGTCTCATAGAAGTTCTCAACAAGTTTCTCACCTTTGGATAACATCTGCTTAATTATAGGAAGTATGTGATCATAGGCAGCCTCAGATATATTGTATTCTGACTTCCAATGCAACAACTCTATTGCAGCTTGTAATTTTGAATAATTTTCACATCCATCCCACAAAGGTTCATCAACGTCTTCTAACATATCATAGAACCCCTTGGCGGTTGGATTCAGGAGTTCCTCCATTACACCCATCAACATTTGTGTACACCCATTAACATCATCATCATCATCATCATCATCTTCCATTGGATTAAAAGATTCTTCCTCATGCTGAGATATCGTATTTCTTTCACCATGTGCCCACCAAGTTATGTAATTAGGTGTGAAACCGTTTTGTAAAAGTGAAGCTCTACATCACCTCTTGCATATAGAATAAGGACATCTAATATAATCCCCATCAACGGTTGCTTCATTAGAAAAAGCAACATCCAGAAATCCTTTGACAGATGCGTGATATGTTGTGCTAAGATACTCATGATCTAACCTTTTGTACATCCAGTATCTATCATTACGTGTTGACTTAATGATTTGCTACAACCATACATATAACTACTATTAAGAACTTAGATAATGACTAGCTACAACCAAGTAAGAAGAAGTGGACTATAATAAATCCTTTGGAATAAACAAGAGCTGGAAGGGAGAGAAAGTAATCAAATAATTTCTAATTGATAGACATATAGTAAAGAATAAGATAGAGCTTCAATACACTTACACAAGTGACTATGCTATATAATCTATTAATAAAAAATTAAGTCATTAACATTTCAAAGTATATTCATTGTGCTTATTGTATTGTGGAGGTAAATGTTGGAGATGGATAATATTTATTCTTGTAATTTTAGTTATTTTTCATGTAACCATCTTAATCATGCATATAGATTGGGTATAGATACTAAATGTTGTAATCAATCTTCACAATTACAACCAAGCCATGTTTTTTTTTTCCTAAATGTTGTCTATGTAAATGGTGTTTAGAAACAACTTCAGAGGATAAGGGCACATTTGGAAATTTCATATTCTGTTTCCAAATATGTGCATTTGAATATACTATTATCGAAGAGGCATTTATCCTCCGAAGATGAAGACATTAAGCGTTTTCTAATGCGGAAGTTATGTAATTACAGTTTAAGTTTAATATATAATAATATCTATATACATTATTAATTTTGGTATAACTTATTAGTTTTGGTTTGACCAAAAATATATTACGAAACTTTGTCATTATGGTTTATTAAAAAAAATACATAAATGGGGGCAAAATAATAATTTTACCATGATTGGATATGCTCTAATAAAAAAACATAAGGGCAAAATGTAAATTCCATGGTCCCTAAACGAAGACCATATCAAAAAGAAATTTCTTTGCTAGATCATGGCAAAATGACCATCTTATCCTCCTTTAGGCCCTTATCAAATTTCTATTAAAAATAGAAAATTTAGGGCAAATTCGTGATTTTACCATATAATTCCAAAAAAAATGAAACCATAGGGAGAAAAAAAACAAAAAAATCGCAGAGGGGCCAAATTTAAAGCAAAATGAATCCATATGGATAGAAAAACACATAAAATTCTTTTAGGGACCATATCTGAAAAACAATATAGCACAGAGACCAAAATTTTAATTTACTAGTTAATAAATCAATCTACTAGAGAATATATTAATAATTTTATGAACCTTGTAAACTTCTGCAGGGAGCAACAACAATTCAACCAAGCATACCTGAAAAGCAAAAAAAGAACTATGTGAATCTTTCAGAAATCATGTTACCAAAACAGAGCAGAGATCCATGCATTGGTGTCCATGGGTAAAATGGTCAGACAAGAGAAAAGCAAACCAGGGGCAAACAAAATAACATCCAATGCATTTCTTTTTTGATCAGAATGAAAAATATGAAGTATATTTTTTTATTCTTTTTTGTTTTCTGTGGTATAGTGCAAATTACAGGTTCAGTCCAGTTTTGGATTTTATTACATGGTTCATACTTGTGATTTCAGTTTGTTAAATCCCTGTCACATGACTATTTTTCCCTCATTTTAAGTTCTGATTTCTAAAGTTGTTAGTTGGAGGGTTCCATAACCACAACAAAATGAAACCACAAGAATGACCCATGTTAGAGATCCGAAGTTGGATTGAATCTGTAATATTCAATATACCATAGAGACCATTTTTGTAATTCACACAATTCTTTACATGCAAAAATGTACTAAACTTTAAAACAGTGACTTGTCCATAAAGAGTGCTTAACATGGTCCATAGTAAACACTTCCATTTTTTTACTGTCAAAGAAAAGAAAACAGAATTCCAATATGGATATTCAAATATAATATTCAATTTTCTAAAACAGGTCTAACAATTTTGCCTTTTCTAATAGGAAACAATTTTTTGGGGGAAATAAATAAAATAAAAATAATTAAATAATAATTTATAATGAGTTTTAAAGATATTGTTCTTAAATAATCAAAAGAGAATAAACAAAAAAGACCTTAAATGAAAAATATATGAATAGGAACTAAAATTGTGAATTAGACAAACCTGAAGGATTACCTTGACTTAGTTAAGACCAAATTTTAAGAGTAGGAATTTATAGGAAAAATAGAGAGGAGGAATTCGGTACATGAAGTTGAACTAAAAAAGAACACTCCATGAAGATGAACTAAGTGATAAACAAAAAAAAAAGATAGTTTTGAAAAAGTCAAACACAGTAAACAATGGCTTTTTTGAAAAAGTCACTTGAAACGTTAAAAGATAGGTTTTTATTAGATTCATGTAACATTCCGTCTGAATTAAATAAAATTAGTAAATAAATAATAAGCCCTAAACCCCGAGATGTAAATGATATTTTTATATTATTTTATTGAAGCCCTAAATCCAAATAACTTATGGATGTTAGACATGGGAGTTAAATGTCATAATTTTTGGAAATTATGGTGTAGTGTGTGTATTATTTGGCCAGAAACCTATCGCCACCACAATGAGGTGGTGGCTGCCACCGTTTGCTGCCGCCTGCCACCACGTGGGTGGCTGTGTATGTGTGTGTGTGTCAATAGGTGCATGTGAGTGTGTTTCCCTCTTGTTAAGATGTTGATTGGGTGTTTTGGGCCGGAGAAAAGCCAAGGAAAAGCCCCACCATCACCGTGAGGCGGTGGTTGCCGCCGTCGACCACAACTGCCCGAGGTAGCAGTGGGTGGTGCTCGACATAGTGAAACCCTAATCGGCCCAATAACTTAATCTTGGACTTAGTTGGCTTGTGATTTGGTTGGAAAACCTAATTAGGGTCTAGAAAACCCTAATTTTGGAAATGTTAGTTTGGGATTTGTCGGGACCCGCGTTTGGACTGTTAGATTGGAATTTTGAATTTTGTCCAAATACATTGTATGAATGGCCTAGTGGAGTGATGTACTTAATGGATTAAGTCCTTAATGGGTTAAGTAAGAACACTTAAACCCAATGTTCATTTTTTGTGAAAACCCTAATTATGCTTGGGCTTCAAGTTGGGCCTTTCTTTTGGGCTTAGGTGTTTGGATTCATTTTGGGCCATCTGAGAACAAGTATATGGACTATGATATTTGGATCGACCTTAGTGTAAGGCCCATGTAAGGGGTTTGGTCCTAATTTGGAAAATTGGGACATAATTGGGCCGCGGTTGATTATTTTACTTTTGGGCCTTTAGAGTATGAGTTTGCGCCTTGGTCTTGGACCAAGCTAGGTTAGGGAAAACTGGTATTTTTACCCCAAGTATAGACTTATGGTTATGCATTGGAACCCGATTGTTAATTGTGTTTATTTTGATGTTGACAGTTCGGGAATATGTCAGCCAGCAGCCAGGGATCGTCTGTAGTGCAAGGTGAGTTTCCTCCTGGATTGAACGAGTATAAGGCACCAAAGCCGGCCCGTATAGATTGTATGTTCTTAAATAGGAACTCGAGTGTGGGCGGGGCCCGTATCTCATTACTTCTTGAGTATGTTTATCGGTTGGATTGCTAGATTGTTATACTTGTTGTCTGTGTGATACTTATATGTGTTTTTTAGGAATGTGAGTGTGGGCGGGGCCCGTATCTCATGATTGGCTGAGTGTGGGTGGGGCCCGTATCATCCGAGTGTGGGCGGGGCCCGTATCTCGCAGAGTGTGGTCGGGGCCCGTATCTCATAGAGTGTGGATAGGGCCCATATCTCATAGAGTGTAGGCGGGGCCTGTATCTCACTGAGTGTGGGCGGGGCCCGTATCTCTTAGTCATCCGAGTGTGGGTGGAGCCCGTATCTCTTTGAGTGTGGGCAGGGCCCGTATTTCCTATTTGTATGATATGTGTGGTATGTGGTAGTTTGGGGAGACTCACTAAGCTTCGTGCTTATGGTTTTCAGTTTTGGTTTCAGGTACTTCCGGTAGAAAAGGGAAGAGCTCGGGATGACTGCATGGAACACACCTTGTTTTTAGCCTAGGATATTTACTCTGATGTACACTTGACATGATACTCTGTTTATGAGATTTTGGATACTTTGTCTTGTTTTGACTGGATGTTTGATAACAATGCTTTTATTCAGTAATTAAAAATGAAATGTTTGGGTTATGAATTATGGATGTTTCAAGTTAGTATAAGAGCCCTGTTTTGAGGGATTCGGGTACACTCTCGGGTGTTCCTGAACTCAAACTGAGGACTGGGTAATAAATTTTTTAAAAGAAAGTTCATTTTTATAAAAGGAATTTCAAAAGAGAAAAAGGGTGTGGTGCATCCAATCAGCCGAGCTCAAGTAAGTTTTCCCAAAATACCCATACATATTATCTGTTATTATTTGATGTTTGCGTCTGTGGAATCAGATGCTAGTTAGGGCTAAGGATCTGCTCAGTTTTTGCATATTAGAATGCTTGGAGATATGCCTTTGTATGCCTATTGTATGAGCTTGTAGCCTTGCATGCTAGTTCTGATTAACTAGTGATAGGGTGGCATGTTATGTGATACTTGGTAACCTAGGAAGCATGGAATGCTTGTTCGAGTATGATTTATTTGCGTAAGGCAATCTGTAGCAGGAGTGGGAACTCCTAGTATGATTTGTAGCAGAGGGAATATATGCCCATGATTATTTTATGGTTTGGAGTGATACTGCACGAATGTTGCTTGCTTTGTGCTTTATGGAACTCTTAGGTGATGGGGGTCAGCTACTGAGTGAATATCTCAAGTCACTTGTGTTAATGGTTGGATAATCCCAGAGTGACAGATTTGACTCCATTGCGTAGCTCTTGTCTGAG